CTGTTTTAAGAGATTTTCTTGCCCCTCCCACTGAATACTTTTTATTTCGGCAATCGTGTTTTTACTTTCTAAGAGCTCCTTTCTGTTCTGATTGTTCTTCATGGCCTTCTGTTTTTGTCTGACACTGTCTTCAGTCATTTTAAATTGCTTACTTTTGTATGTCTCGGTTTTTCTCTTTGACGCTGCAGGCAGTTCTCAGATGTGTGTGCCCCTTTGCTCTCCATCCATGTTTGAGAATGGGCAGTGGTTAGACAGGCTGGAATTCTGTGTATGTGACCGGAGCTTATTGGCTGGGGGTGGTTTGTGGGAAGATGAGCTGCTTTCAGGCTGGGACAAGTGGAAGGCCTCCCTCTGAGTGTGCCAGCTGCCTGCCTGGTTCTCACCAGAGGCTCCATTTATCTTCTTCAGAAAAGAGGCCACCATACTTTTTCTCCATTGGGATGAATTTATGGAGGCAATAAATCTGAAGGTGCAGGGGATTGGACTGTGGTGTCAAGGGAAGGATCAGGGGCCAGGAGAATGCAGACCTTCAATTGCTCATCTCATTTCTGTCCTCAGCCCTGTCTCACACTTTCCATCACCACTGCCGCCTCTGATCCAGAGCCTTTCATGAGTTCTAGAACGCAGGGACCACTCCAGCCTCCGTTTCAGCCATCCTCTGCGCCTCACTGGGGCAGAGATGACCATGCAAGGTGGAGAGACAGTCTGGCGCACAGTGAAATGTGCTCTCTGACCTCCCAGTCCTGCCCTCTGGGTTCTGAGACTGCTGTTTATTTTCATATCACAAAGCCAAACTCACTGAAGCCCACGTGATTGTCCCTACACAAGAAGAGGAGCCTCAGCCCTAAAGGTTATTGTCCCATAGATGTGTCCGAGGGGTCCAAGTTAAGGGTGAGATCGCGTCCAGTATGTTCCTTACGCTCTTGTAGGAAATGTACTAACATAGGATTTATTAACATTTAATAAACTGACTACAAACCAGATCCTTACTTTAAAAAAATGAATATGTTTATAGACTTTTTACTTTCTATGTGGCATCAAAGCTTACCTTCCAAATCCTCTAAGGAAAGGAGCAGAGAGGGGAGAGTCAAGAGATTTTTCCCAGGTTAATTAAATAGGTCAGTGGATGAAACCGAGGCCCCTTTGGTCGCCTGCTCCCTCTCCATCTTCTTGAAGATGCTAACCAAAGGTTTAGTCAGGATGGTTTTTTCCCCCTAAACAGGCTCCAAAATACAGCTCTTCATGAAGCAACTCTGCTTGGCCTGGCAGGAAGGGAGTGTGTTGCTGCCTTGCTGGGGTACGTTCCTTGGCCTCTGAGGGACGCTTCCGGAGGCCACAGTGAGCTCTCTGTTGACCTGTGAGGATTTCAGAGGGTCCTGGCCCCTCAACAGCTGGCCCAGCGAATGGGGGCCGCCCTCCCACCATGGCTCCTAGGGCACTGAGGCCTTGTAAAAGCTCAATGAAAATGTTGCCCCCTTGAACCCACTTGATTGTGGGACCCTGTGGCCAGGACTGGAGTTGGACGTGAGATCACAGAGCCCCTCTAGAAGTCTCAGGGTAGCGCCGCCCTCAAGACCTGGGTCATGGTGGCCTCACAGGGAGGGTCTGGGAAGGGGGCCCGGGGCTCCCAGACTGGCTCCGTGGCAGGGAAGAGTCAGGCCCTCAGGTTCGGGCGTCCGAGCCCTTCATTTCACCCCCTTCTCCTTTACAGATGCAACGCGAGCATCCAGAAGAAGAACTCAAGGGGCCAGACAGCATACGACCTGGCCCTGGAAACTGGCGACGACCCGGTCACCTCACTCTTTGCTGCGAAGCTCGGCCTGGATGAGGACCGTTAACCCCAAGGGCCCTGTGGGTGTCACTGAGAGCAACCGGCCAGCCCTGGCTGTTCTTTGTTCGTTTCTTTCTGAAATGTGTACTTCAGATTTGGAAATTGAGGTTGAGAGGCACTCAGAAGATTTAAAAAAAAATTATATGACAGTATAAGCCCCTAATACCACATGAGTATTTCCCCATATGCCCTGGATGGCGGTGAACTTAGTGTATGTCTTCAGTGGTTTATTGCTGCTTGTCTTAGAATTTGCTTTTTAATTTAAATTTATTTTTCAGTAGATAATAGTTGCAGATGCTGCTAAGCTAAAAAGTATAAAGTATTATGTCGTGAAGAGTCTCCCTCTGGTCCCTGTCCCACTGTCCCCTGTCCCTCTGCAGAGGCAGCCAGTGACATCAGTGTCAATTGCGTCTTATAGAAGGATTATAGAAGTAGGATTATAGAAGCACGCGTACGTGATCTGTGTGTGTGTTCGTGCAAAGTATATGTAAAACGTAAGTAAGGCGATGCACATATATTCTCCCCCCTCTTTTAAGACAGACAGTGGGAAACCACGTGATGCTCTGCATGTGCTTTGCTCAGTATATCTTGTAAGTGGTTCCAAATTAGTCTGTGAAGGTTGAGTGTATTAAAAACTGTTTTCCTCATGTTGAGCTCTTCACTATTCATACTGTTGTGGTTTTTCTTTTGTTGCCAGATAAGCTTTGAATAAACCATCCGCAGGCATGTGTAATTTTGACTCATTTTTTCTTTCGGATTGTCATCTCGGCCTTTGAGTGGTGATGCTGAGTCCCTGAATTGTTTCTGTTAACGTATGTAGGCAGGATATTCATTAATTTAGAATCACTGATTTAGGACAGTAAGTAGGACTCTGTCGGGGTGGCTGCCGGCGTCACTGCCTGCACTTGATTTCCCCCGGGTGGGTGACCGTCCGCCTGGAGGACGGGCGCTGTCGGATCAGAGCCCCCAGTGGGAGTGGAGGCGCCAACACTGGCTTCCCAGGTCAGAGCCTGGCAGTCTGCGTGAGGGGGGCCCTTCGAGGGTACCCGGTATCTGGAGAGACCCGTGGGGTGTGATCACGTGGTTTGGTGGTCTGCACTATGTCTATTTAGCTTAGCCAGGAAGACCTTTCCCAGGGTTTTCTTCCTTGGAGGCTTAGTTCCAGATTGGCCACGAGAAGAAGTACACAAGGTTCGAGACTCGGGTGGTGGAAGTGCAGTGATGGCCACCCCCCCGGGAGGGGGTTCAGAGCACTGGACGATACTATGGCTCGCATCCCACGGGATCCGGAATCAACAGCTGGGAGGAGGGTACAGCTTCAGGGCCGTTTACCCAGACCTCGGGAGCAGGGAGGTCCCCACGGCCCGTGGGCCCCAGAACACCCCCTGGGGCTCCTGGGCAGAGCTTTCTCACCCCGCGGGCAGGAACCGCGTTCCTCGGGTTTTCCGTACTTCCTGGGGGCCGTCCTGCCCCCTCCCCGACATTCCACACTGGGTGCCTCTCTCTCACCAAAGCCCACTGCCCGGCCAGGTGAACTGCCCTTGCATTTCACTCCTTCAGAGTCAAGCCTCATTTAAAAAGTGAGCAGGTAGCTTAATAGTTAAGATGCAGGAACACAGGTTCAAATCCAGGAACTTTCTTGATGAAACCCTGAACTAGAGATTTCGAGGAAAATTAAAACTAAACCTATGTTTTAAGGCAGGCCTTTCTGGTTTTAAAAATCAGTTTTTTCTTGTCCTTCCTGAAGCCTTATTTTTCTCTTCCTAAGCATGCTGGGGCTTGATAAGTAAGTGGTAACAAGTGAGGGGCTTACTGAGGGAGTGGACGGTGTGCGGCTGCGGGAGGGAGGGGGCTGATGGTGGCTCCGCAGGGCTGTGGTGGGGAAGAAGGGGGCGTGATGTGCGCATGAGTGGGGACACGTCTCCCTCCCTGTGGTCACAGGCGTTCTACGGGAGACCCCAGGGCCCTTCACGTGGAGCCGCTCTGGGCCGGGCGCTCCAGAAGCAGATACTGAGACCGTTTGCACACAAGAGGGTGCGTGTTTGTTGAGGATCAGCGCTTGCGAAAGGAAGAAGCGGGACTGCGCAGAGCGAGAAGTCGGCACCACGCGGCCCCAACGAAGCCCCAGCCACCCCCGGGTGGACGCTGGGAAGGCGGCTGCCTCCTGTGTCCCTCCGCGCCTTGGCCACCAGCTGAGAGCTACCGGGAAGGGCAAGTCCCAAGTCCTCGGGGCAGGCGTCAGGAAGCGCAGGCCGGCACGTCTGCTCAGGCTCAGGCCGAAGCCGCCTCCCACCAGCGGAAGGTCTTCTCCAGGGAAGTCTCAGTTCTGCACTGAAGGCCTTTCACCTGATTGAATCAGGCCAGCCCAGCCCCCGGAAGGCAATCTCCCTTTCTTAACGCAGCTGATTATAAACTGTAACCACAGCTGCAAGGTACCTTCCCAGCAACACCTATGCTAGTGTCTGATTGAATAACGGGGGCGGGGCCCACAAACAGACCTTCCCAGCCCCCATCAGCGTCATTGCTTGTTAACTTCTTTCCCCTCCCCTCCCCACTTGAACAAAATCGGTAACACACACGTGCAGTTTTTTCATTCGTTGTATAGGGCTATAACTTTCTTTTTTGCATATAATTTTTGGCAGTTGCCGTTGCCAAAATTAGGTTTTTTGGTTCATATATATTTAGGTTTGGGAGGAGGAAATTTTTTTCTCTTTGGCTTTTGATAAAATGGGGTGTGAAGAGTTTTTAAATGCTGTGTCCAGGCCTGTCCCATTTGGGACAGCTTCTTAAGGGGGGTGTCCCATCAGGCTGGGGGCACCTCCCCCACCCCCGGGACCTCCCTTCCCTCTGGCTCCTTCCCCTTTCTGTGAGGAATTAATATGCTGTAACTTTTGGGGAGGAAGGGTCTCCCTTTCCTGTGTTTATGTTCAGACTTGATGGCTGCCCTCGCGTTTGCCCACCACTCTGACATCTGAAAGTGAAGCTCGCCCATAGTGAGCAAGCCCCTCGCCCGCTGCAGATGAGGAGGGGGTAGAACACATTTCCACTCGGGCGAAGCCGTGTTCCTTCCCCCTCCCCACCGTTCTAACGAGTCTTTTGAGGAAGGCCAGAGGGGTCTGAAGTTCACATCTGCGTCAGGCCACTGCCCCACCCCCAGGACCCCTCACTTACTTCTCACCAAGAGGGGCAACCCCAGGCTTTGATTCCAGCCAAGCCCCACCCACCTCCTGTTGGCCCTGCCTGCCCCGGGCTTCTATTTGCACACCTCACACGTGCGCTGGGAGTTAGGCAAAATCTCAGCATATTGGCTGGGACTCTACCTTCTACAGAGAAATGTAGCTCGCACGTGGCTTCCCGTTGCCCCGTCTCAGCTCTCCCTGCGCCCCCCCCCCCGTGCGCCCCCACCACACCCTTCTTTGGGGAAGCTGCTTGTGATGGTTAATTTTCTGTGTCACCTTGCCTGGATCACAGGGTGCCCAGATACTTGGTTAGACTTTATTTCTGAGTGTGTCTGTGAGGGTGTGTCTGGATGAGATTAGCATTTGAATTGGTGGACGATTCAGACATAATTCCCCAGTGCGGGTGGGCCTCAGCCAATCTGTTGAAGGCCTGAGAAGAACAAAAAAATGGGGGAAGGAGAATTCACAGTCTCTGCCCGACCACTGAGCCGGTGCCCATCTCCTGCTGCCCTCAGGCGGGGCTTGACACCATCCGTGGGTCTCCGCACACGCTTTCGCCCGTGGGCTCTGCAGGGAGACCTTCCTGGGGAGGGAGGCGGGGCATGAACCCTTTCTTAAGACATAAACCCCTGCTGGGGAGAGGACTCTGCCCTCCCTGCTGGCTACCCGGCTCGTGTGCCTCGGACTGCAGTTGGTCTGTCCCCCTTCGGCCCCTCCTGCCTGTTGGGCCTGGAGACACCTGGTTCCTCCTGCCTCCCATCTCTGCAAACACCCCTGCCCGTACGGGGTTCACTGTCCCCGGGGGAGCCAGTGCCTCCAGTGGCAGTGGCAGTGGCATCTCTGCGCTCCGGGCTTCCAAACAACCCGAGTCCCTTCCTTGCTCAGGTTATTACTCAAGTGCAAAATCCTGTCACCTCAGGATGCTGGCACCCGAGAGTCACTGTGTTCTGTAACTTCCTCCTCTGCATGCGGACCGGCACTCAGAGCGCCTGTCCTCTCGGGGGGGGGACGGTGTGCCAACTGGTGACTTCGCCGTCTTCACTCCTGTGTCTCCTCTTTGCTGGAGCCTTTGGTTGGACGCTGATGGGCTTCCTGATCACTTTGCTCAGCAACCTGCACATCCTGCCTGGGGTCACCGGCACATCCCGCCTTGGGCCTCCCACTGCCCCTGTGCCCGAAACACCCTCAGCCGCCCGGCTGGGATGACACCTGCTCGGGGTCCCGACCCTCCCCTTGCTCAGGCCTCTCCTCCCCGTGCGTCGCTCAGCCTCTTTCCTCCCATCCTGCCCAGGTCCTGTCCTTCACCACACGGCCCACAGCTGACCTCATGAGAAATCCAAACACCCTTCCCAGTTGGCTGGGGACTCTGGGATCAGAGGCCATGGCCATCACTCCAGCCTCTTCTCTTGTTCTGCTCCTGAGATCGTACCTGTGTCGGAAAAGTCTACCTGGCCTCTCTCAGCCATGGGCCGGGCGGGTGTGGCTGCCCCCCTGCTCCTCCACCGCCTGCCCCGGCCACCTCTGCCTCGCCCTCCGCCTCCCGCAGAGGTGACCAGTCCATCTGGTACCGCCCTGCTCACCTGCCCGTCCCCCGAAAGACTAAACATCTGTAGGCACTGAATTCTGGCGCCTAATCCAGTTTCTGGCATGAGGTGAAACTGTGGGTGACCCATTAGTCACATCCATTTCACCTGCCGTCACCCATCAGGGTGGTTTTAAGACTTGCACGTCCAAGCAGCACGGAGCCTCAACAATAGGATGCTTGCCGGAGCTGTTTTCCAGAAACTTGGAGTCTGGTTTGAGTCAAGTCTGGATGGGGCCACCGCCCACCACCCCGGCAGCTGAGTGACCTTTTGAAGAGCCCTGTAGCTGAGTTACAGCTGATCAGAGCCTTTCCCCCGCTCCCCACACTCCACACGCCTCACATCGCCCTGCCGCTTGATTCATTATCCATAAACACCCCGCCCCTTGCCCTGGGGAAGCGGACTTGAGGTTTGTTTCCCACCTCTTCGCCAGTCTCTTTGCTGCAAACCCCAGCGTCTCTCGCTTTTGACCTGCTGCACGTCGGGCAAGACCAGCCTGGTTCGGTAACAGAAGGTTCTCAGCAAATAGCTGTTGAGAAAATTCACTGCAGCTTTGGGGTTTGGACAAAGGAATTTTCTAGCCAACTTTCAGGCTTTGCAGCAGGGGAGGTCTAGCTGTGAAGTTTGAAAAACATGTATCTTTCTATCAGCTAGTTCTGAAACAAGGTTGTAGATAAAGGTTGTAGTGTGTCAGTAGACTAGAAAATATTTGGGTATCAACTCTTCTACAGCCTAAACATTTTTCAAGATATTTTAAATTTCAAGTAATATCCTGGTTATGTGGGCTTATGTATTGCTATAAGACGGGTTGTGCTGCAGTATGTTTTGTCGCTTAGACACATTTATAATTGAGGTCGATATTTAGGCTTCATCAAATTTTGACAGACTAAATGACTTATTAAGTCTCTTAATCTTACTAAATCTCTTACTGAGATAATTTATTGTTTTTGCAAACCATTACATGTTATTGT